ACATTCTACACATCTTCACGAGCATGTGGCTCAGACACAAGAAAAGTGTCGGTCTTAAAAAGAGCAGGGCAGTGATCTGCACAGAATGATATTCAAAATGGCTATTTCATTGCAAAACCTTGTACAAATGTGGAACGCTCCCCTTCAGGTGAAATTCGCTTCTGTAGAAATGTCTCGGCCCAGGTGCTTTTATCAGTGCTGTATAGACAATATCCCTGATTTGAGGCAAGTTATAGTGTGCACTGGATGACCCGACCATTCCATTTTTAAGATGAAGCATGTTAAGTACTGATTCCACCTAAGTTTATATTTGCGGATTGATTGCGGGTCAGAATGGTAGTCCAGCGGGCTTCTGAGAGCTCGATTCCCAGCTGGCCGGGCCGGGCCGGGCTGCTGGCGGATAGTTAGAAAAAAGTTGAGTATCTAGTATTTGCAGTCTTCCTTGCATTGGTCTGTAGTGTTGTTTTTGTTTGTTATGTTGCTTGCCTTACATTTGCTTTTTGTAGCCGTTTATACCTACGTTATAACAAGCAAAATTCCCTTCAACCTGACATTTGCACACACGGCATCACTGACTGAATCACATAGCGTTACTTTTCCGTATTAAGGATCCTTATCAATCTCTTCGTTTGCAAGGATAGTTCGTTTCAAAGAGAGCTGCTTAGTCTGTAGTAGCTAATCTCAATATTTGAGATGATATTCCCTGTTACACTAAGCTTGGGCAGTTTTAAGCCGAGTGTAAGACATAGGTTGAACTCAGTTTAGCAGCGTGACACGTGTTACATTCCGCGTAACCCCGCTCGCAGCTGTCGACTCCCGGCGCGATCCGCCGTTTTTCCTAACGCGGACTGATAGCGGGGGGGGGGGGGGGGGGGGACAGGGGTGCATGCGACCCCAGCCGTTTCCAGTCAGATAAAAATAGAGCCCAGGGGAAATCACCAGTGGCTTAAACTTAACGAAATCTCGCGATTGGTGATAAGTTTTATGGTTGTAGATCAATTATGGGCCTCACTATGCCAGACTAATGGTCAAATGTTCTTAATATTGTACTTTTTTAGCTTTTCATGCTCATGTCTACGAGATCATCCCTTGTAGTGACATGAAACCTGAGAGACGTGTTCCTTGTTAAATTCTTAGTGAAATGGTGTATGGTTTATGTGTTATGAGCATCTATATATGAAATATGGCTCTGTTCATGTACCCGTGTCGGCCGCCGCGCCCGTTCCGACGCGCCGTCCGCTGCCGCCCGCCGTCCGCACCGGCCGTAGATCGCGTGAAGTGTTCCTCAAACATCACCGTTACTCCGAAACCAGAAGAGCTTGGAACACGTTTTTGGTGTCAAATCACGCGCAATAGATGCTTCATAGGCTTTTGGGTGCGATTGCACGCCATACTGGAGAGGTACCCTGAGAAAAACTCAGAAAAAAGAAAAATAAGCACAATGCAGGCAGACGTAACGACAATCCAGCCTTGCGTGTGGATGATGTTCTGTATAACGCTGGCTTGATGCAAAGTAATTCACACTCCATGTGTGACGAGCTGGTCTGAAGCGGACGTGTAAGAAGACCTCCTGGTGGTATAATTCCTCCTGCTTTATGTCAGTACCCGTACCTCTCATGTGCACAATGTTTCAATTAATCGCTATTAGGGAACAGATGCGCGACACCCAAACATGCTGGCGCTGCCTGCGTCTTTTGACAGCTTCACCTGTCAAATGCATCCCAGGCTCAGTTTTACTAACAAGTGACTATGCTTCGTGGATGTGAAATAAAAGACATTGTATCACCCCTCGTGCTTATCGCTTGTGTTAGATCGCGAACGTCCGATTTGATCCGTGCTACCAGTGTTCTCGAAATCCTTTTGAACAAATCGGAATTTAGAGCAGTAAAACAAAAAATGCACGCCAACAAGGGCTTCCAATTTCTTGTTCTCTAGCATTGTACAGCAACCCCCGAACCACCTTTTTAACATAAAACCTCAACAGAGAAATATTCTCACTTTCACACTTTTGTCGGCTCTTTACATCGCAACGGCACCACCATAACATTGCAATTGCTGGAGTCGCGTCGTGTTGCAGTCGCGTCATGGGTGCGAAATAATCTGGGCGATTACCACACCTACAGAGTGTGGAGGTGCTATGGAATTTCATGAATGACTGCCTCTTTTCCTCACGCTAGACCGATAGCAAAGCTACTGACGCCTCTAAATGTAAACGTCGGAAATAAAAATAGCATTTTTGGCGTCATTTTATTGTGACCCGGGCAGTGAATGTCATGCCACAAGACCTCTCCATATGAACTTCGGTGATCCTAATCGGAGCCCGAAAGTTTGGTCGGCTGAAAACGGATGTAAGCCGATGTGGTTTTTGGGTGGTCATTGAAAACACCGTCCGGCTTTTTGCACATCTTGTTAAAGATGCTTGGCGCATTTGACAGCAAACAACGGTGAAGAAAAATGAATACATCAGTAATTGTGTACAAATATTGTATTGCAAGGAAGCAGTTTCACAGTTTAGGAAATATACCTCTCAAAGCCAATGACTTCTAGATGGCAATAAGATCTAGAGACAGATGTTTGACACGTGGCACAAGCCCACCAAATACAATCGAAACGACATTTTTTATGTTGTCAAGGAGCAAAATCGGCAAAGTTAGTACGTCAGTATTAAATATAACACCGATTGAGGAAGGTGCACAAACATCATATTTTGCCGTCTCATCAACAAGGAATAACTGATATACTTTTCTCACACATAAGACAAGCGAAACTCATCAATTCAAATATGCCCAAGTCAAGTGTGCTGCAATGTAAATTCCAACGCTGCTAAGCTGCCCTCTTCCTCCACATCAGCCGTCACCGGTACAGATCCGCTTCATCCTGCCGGCATATTGAGCCAACGCTGCTAGGCTGCCCTCTTCCTCCACATCAGCCGTCACAGGTGCAGCTCCGCTTCATCCTGCCGGCACATTGAGCCAACGCTGCTAGGCTGCCCTCTTCCGCCACATCAGCCGTCACCGGTACAGATCCGCTTCATCCTGCCGGCACATTGAGCCAACGCTGCTAGGCTGCCCTCTTCCGCCACATCAGCCGTCACAGGTACAGCTCCCCTTCACCCTGCCGGCACATTGGGCCAACGCTGCTAGGCTGCCCTCTTCCTCCTACATCAGCCGTCACAGGTACAGATCCGCTCCACCCTGCCGGCACATTGAGCCCCCAGAATCGGTTCGTAGTCACTAAGGTTCAAGGAATTTCGTTATTAAGCTGTTTTTATGGATATTCCGACATGAAAACCTGAGTGATTAGCACAACCACCATCAATCGTCAACTACCGTCCTAATTGGCGTTTGCTATTGTTTAGTTTCGATCGTGTTGTGTTTTAAAAAGGCTATTCTGCTGATTTTAGGTATAAGGGGTTCGCACTCCCCTAACATCCACGTTCATTACTCATACGTTGTTCTCAGTTTGCATTATTATGTCCAACACCCTTAGGCCATTTTCCTTCGGCTCGAGCCGCTCAACTTCTGGTTCCTTTCTACACCTCTGATTTCTTTTCACGCTCTCCTAGAATGCTCTCACCGCCTCCTCCGATTTCCTAGCATAGCGACTACCGATTATCTGGCAAACTCGCCCTATATCCTCTGCCTTGCAGCCTTCCTGATCATTGCCGCCAGACCATCACCAGCTAGAAAGACCACTAATAACTACCGATGTTGACTGCAGTGTCGTGTTGCCGCCACCGCCCCGGCCCGGCCCACCGCCCCGCCACACCCCGGCCCGACCGCTGATGTGGTGACGTGTCGCGGACCGTCCCCACTGTGCCTCCCACCGCCACCGGCCCGACCGCTGATGTGGTGACGTGCCGCGGACCGTCCCCACTGTGCCTCCCACCGCCCTGGAGCTGGTTCCGACCACTGTTTTGCGTCACCCCCTCCCCTTCCTCCTTGAGATCCATCGTTGTCGTTGCCGCTGTCATTAGCAGGGACATCATCACCCAGCCATTTCCCGTGCCTGCCACCGAGGGGAAACTCGCAGCGCCTAGCCAGGTGGCAGGCTGGGCGTGTGTAGTGCGCGGAGACTGCTAAACTGTAGCTCCGAGACTGAAGTGAGCGGAGCTGGATGAGACTTTACCGCCAGTGAGTCCGTGACGGGGATTATATGGATGCAGGAAAGGCTCAGTGACGGCAGCAAACGACATCAATCCTGTTGAGCCCGCTGAGCCGAGTACTTTACTTTGTCGAAACTTCGCCAAATCCCGTTGAGAGGCTAACCTGCCCTCCGCCCATTTGTAAAACTAATCCAGAGGCGATTTCCCTGATACGTGAACCACCGGCCAGGCGTCGTTTGCTGTTTGTGTTTGGATACGAGGAAAAGTACATACATACGTCAGGCCTGCCTCGCGTCTGCAGACGCATTAATGGCGATCGGCGACGATTGGTTGGGTGATGATGGCGTCGCACTTTCCACTGTGTGAGGCGGACATCTCCCGGCAGAAGCGCCTCCGCGCGCAGCGGCTCGCCGCGAGAGGCGACTCTCTGTGCACCCGGGGGCAATCCGTGTCCGTGCTCAGACTCGGCCCAGAGCCGGCGCTCGGCCCTCACCTGCCCAAACAACGGCCGCGAGGCCGCCGGTCCGGCCGGCACTCTATTGCCACCCCCATCGGCATGCATGGTCTGAGACCTCCCGCCGACGGCGGACCACCCCAGGGACCGCGGCGGCGGTCCGGGGTCACCTGCGTCCGGCCGTCGGGGGAGGGAACGGGGACATGGCGGGATTCCCTCTGCATTCACCCGGGGGGGGGGGGAGGGGGTCAGGAGCCGGGTACTATATCCAAAGGGCCCATTGGAGCTCTTGGTTCACCTGGGATCAAACCCTTATTGGAGGGGGACTGCAGGACCAGTTAATCTTGAGACAGAACTTCTATGCTAACGTCGACTGGTTGAGATGTACTCCGTTCATTGGCACCGCAGTTTCATTCGCCGATTGCGGGGGTCTACAGCACCATGCCGCCGATGGTGAACATCGAACCCACAACCCTTGGCTTTGCGGCCAGTGGCCGTCTCTGCAACGCGGAGGCGCTGCCGTCCGTGCAGGACGGGCGTAATGGGAAGAGCGAGACTAGCCTTGGCATCCGCGCATTCTTCGTGTCAGACCGTCACCAGTCACCATCAGATGTCAGACCGCCACCAGTCACCATCAGATGTCAGACCGCCACCAGTCACCATCAGATGTCAGACTGCCACCAGTCACCATCAGAGGCAGACCTGCCTTGTGTTCTGGTATGTGAGCAGCTGGCGGCAGTCGGCGCTGGCTGGTATCGTTTGACAGCAGGCAGGCGGCACCGCAGGCCAGCCGACTAGGCGGGCGAGGGAAGGACGCTAGGTCCCATGGCAGAGGTCGACTGACCTTTACGCTGCGTAACGGAGTGGAGAAGGGCACGAGGCCGGCCAACGGAATGGCCACACCCAGCCAGGCGAAGTGACGCCCGCATGCGCTAAGACGAAACAAAACTCTTGAGGGCTCCTGCGCCGCTAAAAAACGCCGGTGACTTTTCCCATTTGGTCTCGTGGCGTAAACAACACTCATCATCATTCGACGAAATCAAAAAGGAAGGACGGAATGTGCAGTCATTGAAAGACTCGAACATATGTGGTTGGTTTTAGGAATCTATGGTGTTTTGGCGATGACGGGATGCTATTTCAGAGCACGAGGTACAACTACCTCGCTTGCTCTGGTGCAGTTACAGAGGCCTCAAATGATCCATGAGAACGCACCCATGCCGTTCTTGATTAATATGTTCACCAGCCGATCGTACATGAATCAGGGCTTTTCGCTAGCCATGTCCGTATCTGAGTTATCATCCATTTATTAATACGAAACTACCTGCGATACTTCGGAGTTCGTCTGTCAACTGTCTGCATGTTACGAGGGCGGAAGTAGGCCCCCGAGTATCTCATCGTCTTTTTATCTTGTCGAGAGCATGCAAACGAAAATGAACAGTGCTCGTTGATCTCCCCCAACAATCAGTTAGTTGATATCGAACACACAGGGGCTACGGGATTTGCGGTGCGGGTGATAAGGTTCGTATCGACCGCGTACCAGTCCCATTCACTGGACGTACGTACCGGCTGAGAACGGGCTACAAACGGCACAAAGGCTTCAATGTACTGTCCTTAATATATAAGTGTGCCATCTATGTCGATCTTTTGTTTTCTAGCGGCGCAGGCGGTTGTCTGAGCCGTGTACCTCACATATCCGTTCGGCTGTACACTGACCATAGCCGGCGTATATCTGTGCGGTTTATAGATCACTGCTGTTGGGCACGAAATGGTTCTGCCCTCGGTAGTTAATGAAATGTAAACCACAATTTTTTCTGATCATCAAATTGTGGAATTAGATTTGACAAAGCCGTGGGGAAAAAGTCGCTTGATCCTGACCTCAGGGAAGAGAGAAGTCCCCGCGAGCCCCACTTTATCTACGTCTCTATGACTGATGACGTCACATGTCACGCAAAATTCCGACAAAATCGCCAAAATCTTTGAATGACACTAAGATCCTGTAGCCCTGAAAATGTTGGTGGGATCGCTTCGTATCCAGAACCAAACAAAGGAGTTTTAAACATGATGTTAACAAAGGACAAGGGACAACGTTTCATCAGAGTGATGTCAGGCCACAGACTGGTGACACTATCGGATATAAATTTTCCGCTCTTCCTACTCAGATCCTGCAGAGATATAGTTCATTTGAAAATGGGTCAGTTATGAGAACCTCTTATGTCACCAGTGCACGGGGCAAATCACTTGCATTTGACACTTGCCAGCTGACTTCACGTGACCTCTGATGGCGACCTTGTGTGACCTTGGATGGTGTAATTGGCTGGCCGGTAGACAGCCAAGTAAGTCGACGAGTGGCAACAAGACGACTTAAAACCAGACAACAAAATACGAAGTACTGTATCTGGTGACCAAAAATCGCCGTGCATATCTCTCTCCCCCCCCCCCCCCCCCCCACCACCACCCCACCTTACAATGCCATAACTCAATGAACTGACAAACATGGAATAAACTCATTACTTTAGAGAATGGCGAATTGGTCACCTGTCAGGAACACAACGTATGGTGTGCCCACTCGGCACGGTTAGGAGGAAATTCCTGTGAATCGGATGGGAAGTCCCCTGTAGCTCCCCCGCCGCTCCCCCTCAGGCGATGGCGAGTCAGTCGACTGGCGAGGGAAGGACAAAAGAGAACAGCAAAGGCATTCAGTCAAATATATTAATGGGTTAAGAGTACCGAAGTGCCAGCTGGCTGCTCACGCGCTCCACTAGCCGACAGACTGCTTTTTCGTGGAGGTACATCTTCACATCCTTTTTGCCTCCGTAAAAGGAGGCCCAAGAATAATGCTTGGATATCAGACAAGGCCCTAGGTCCATCTGAAGCGAGGATTCAGTCGCTGTTTCTAATTGCATTGTTCTTCAGTTTGGTTTTTGATGAAAGGGACGGTGTATTCGAAACAAAGAAACAAGTTCTAACTGTACGCCTGCATAGCTGCAGCTGCTTAAACATAGCGCCACAAAATTCCGCCCCTGTGTTTCCAAAATCATCGTCTGATCGCTCGCACGCACGCACGAGCATATGCATACGCATACGCACACGCATGCGCTTACGCAAACGCAAACGCACACGCGTGCGCATACGTATACGCACACGCAAGCACTATATAACAGATACACCGTTGTTGTCCTACGAATCATGGAGAAGTAGGAAATCGGTTACCTTAACATACCAATCTATCTGTCGTGTTTAAAAGAATGTATCCTGTTTTGCCTTTTGACCGCACCACCGTACAAAATGCTGGATAGCAGGGCATTTTTAAGACGGTAAAGTGATACTGAATGAGTATTTAAGGAAGTGTGCCATATTTGTACGGAGTTTTAAACTGAAATAGTCATCTTGAAGATCATTCGGTGCAGTTCAGAACAGTGTTGTCATCATCTAAACCCCTTTGCGTTTCTGAGCTGCGTATCCACGAATATGTGCAGATTTTTTCAGAGAGACTTTTTCAAAATCATTCAGGCATCCACGACCCTATTAATAACGTCATTTAATTCGGTCAATCCATTAGCTATGCGGCAATCAGGGCCAATATAAATATAACTGTCAGGTCGTTCATATCTGGCGTTTGTGAGCACTCCTTCCAATATAAGGGCCGTCAACTGGCTGTCAAACAGCGTTGTGCGAGGCACGATGACGTAATCAAACAATGCCGCATTGAGAAGCACATTTACTAACCGTAGAAACTGTGTTGTGTGGGGCAGTCCCTTACACATAAAAGTATATTTGTAGGCATAAATGAGCTTATTTCATCACATCTGATACTGGTTTTAATACCTTTGAATGTGAAACATTCCCGGTGTTGTATTTATCGGACGGATATGGATCATACTGTTCTCAAAATTAAGAGGGATATAGGAATATTACATTTGCAAACTGGCCAGCTCAAATACATTACTGGGGAATGAAATGTCAGCCTTGAGAAGCATCCAATGGCCTCCCGCATGCCAGCTTTGCTATTTTTGCGGAAATGGGCAGAAATGTAGTGGACTGGTACAGATTGCTTCGCAAAATGCGGCACACATAATGAATAGGACTAGGTCGGATATCAAAGCTGCGGCAAAGGTTGGATACGCGGGTAGACTGAGTCAAACAATGTTGCGCGGTATCCCGCTGGATCCTAAAAGTTCAAGACGTGAAGGTATCCATCAGGAACCACCTGAAATGCATTTCAGCTGCACTCTGTAGGCGATGTGGCTTGTAACTGCCAACTGTGGCGCCTTTGATGTTATACTATATATATATATATATATATATATATATAATATATAATACCTATATATATATATATATATACTTATATATATATATATATCTATCTATCTATCTATCATATCTATCTATCTATCTATCTATCTATCTATCTATCTCTCTCTCTCTCTCTCTCTCTCTCTCTCTCTCTCTCTCTCTCTCTCTCTCTCTCTCTCTCTCTCTCTCTCTCTCTCTCTCTCTCTCTCTCTCTCTCTCTCTCTCTCTCTCTCTCTCTCTCTCGGCACCGTAATAAGGCGTGAAGCCGAGGCGAACGGCAGTGTCCAGCTTTAACGGAGTGCTCCGTATTTAAAGGCGTTGAGGCAAGCATCAGAAATGATGAAAGCTTACTTAGATGTAAGTTGCTTGTGCATTTGTCAGCGATATTACGTATGTAAGTAAGACAGTGCTAATAGCCTTATTCCTTGTCATTCCTGGAACAGCCAGGATGATCTCTTAGCACGCGCTCGGGTGGGAGTCAGAGTGACCCCCCAAAGGCTTCTTCCGGAATGGCCTCCGAACAGTGCGGCGTAGCCGCGCCAAATTTTGCCTTGTTGTAGACGATTGAATAGCAGATCGTCTGACATGAACAATTTTGATGCATCTTGTAAGGTCGCTGACCTATGGCAGGTCAAAGTCAGGCCATGGTTCCAGCGAAGGCAATTTATAGGGAATTGTTCAATCTGATACAACAGCGGAGTGTTAGACAAAGTCATAATCTATGAGGCACTTTTTTAGGCAACACAACAATAAAATGAACAAATTAAATTGACCTAAGGTCAGGTATGAAGGTCAGACAAAGGACAAAGCCAATCTGTTTTGTTACTCTAGCGCTCGCTGTGTGGAGTGGTACCTGGTGCTCATTTTAATTTATTGGTAGCAGGCATAATGCAACTTCTACACATATTTCACTAATACAACTATTGGCAAAACACAACTTCCATAGACTTCTTAAAGCTTAGAATAGGTCACTGACCTAAAATGACTCAGACCAACATTTTGTTTTTAGGAACATACTGCCTAACAAAATCTTTGCTGCTTATCCAAATGCAAAACTTAAAGCGGTCTTGTATGATTTTGGTCGCCATGACCTTCAAGAGGTCAAACAAGGTCACTGACCTTAGATGAGCATGTGACCTTTTGCTGAGAACAGTTGTCTAGGCTCTAGGGCCCTCTGGAGACCAACCTGGAATTTAACCTTGTTTGACCCTGTTTGATCCAAAGGTGACAACCTAGGAACCT